AGAATAAAAAGAGATTTAATGTCAAACTACAGAATCTCTGATCTATGCATCGATTTGTTTACAGTGGTTTTTGATTTAGTTAACTATTCTTTTGTTTGATCTGTGTTAAGTATTCTAGTCCATCCCTTGATACTTTTCATTTATTGTTTTTTGTTTCCTAATAATGGTAGCCGTTTAGGGTTTAGCTTTCTTACAAATTAGACCAACTTATAATTCTTAATTACTTTTTCCAGCTGAAGATGGCGGTTCATCATTGTCTGCAAATTTTCAGCAATTGAGCATACAGGAGGAGGACCAGGGCTCACCACCTGAAGAGGATAATCCTTCTGTAGTAATTCCACATCACCTTCAGCTTCACACCCCAGATTGCTTTCATTTGAGCTTTGGAAGTTTTGGATCTGGGACTAATGCTACCTTTTCTGGTTCTGCGGGTTTTTCAAATGAACCTCAGAATAGTAATGTAGAGGAGATGTCTGTGCCAGCAGACGTCTCTTCAGTTGGTCACTCCGAGGCTAGGTATCTTTTCCCAGAAACTACTGTTCTTATTCTAAATAAAGCATAGGCGATGGTGATAAAATTATGGTGATGAAATTTTCTAATGAAGGAAAACTAGGATCATGGATTCGATATTTATATGATTACTTTTATTCATTCTAATGAATTTCACGTGGAGAGTATGCTTTAGTTTGTGATATTTTCATATGAAAGACAATTTAACACTATTTCTAGTGTTGAGGAAACTATTAACTTGGTTCTGATGTGTTGTTTACATTTTTCTTTAAATGATTTGATGGCTTAAATTAAATTGTTCTCTCCTCTTTTATTGGCAATAATTTCATTAGTGTACTTGCAGAAATTCTGAGTATTACGAGGATGGTGGTACTAACTCAGATGGGAACCTAATTCATAGAACTAGTGCTAGCGGTGGATATTACGAAACTCCTGCTACTCAAGCAGAGGTTAAGCAGGAAAGCTCTGAAAATACTCAGGCTAGTCTATATGCATTTCCATCCTCTTCTCCAGCATTTAGTTATGAGAACAACCAACCATCAGAAATTCCATTTATACAGAGTAGTTCAGAAATGCAGAACCTTGAGAGAGCGATGGTAATGTCAAATATTTAATTTTCTATGGATCTGTTGTACATGTTTTTGAAGTTGGGGCATTTGAGTCTGCTCTCTTTTGCCCGTGGGTGAATTTTTCTTGAAGAATTGTAGTGGCTTGTTTGGAGAAATGATTGTAGAACAGTTTCGTGTTTTCTTGTTTTTGGAACCGTTTTCAAGGTTCATATGCACATACATGTAAAGAAAGCAGCTATCCTTGTTAAACATGAAAGAAACTGGTCTTAAAGAAAGGTTATCAGAAGGCTTATAGGCGTGCATTGTTCGCGCACTTCAGTTACTGGGCAGCACGCTATCACCAACAATTTCTTTTTTCCATAAATGCTTATGGCGGTTAATATGTTTTAGTATCCTCTATGATTTTCAGAAGCTTTATAACTCTGAACGAGAAATGTCTACGTTACTTTTAGCTGTATTTAAATATAGCATTATTGTGGGCACTGATCATGCTATTACTGCCTTTTTGTTTTTATTTCTGTTTTTGTTCATGTGTAAGTGTCTGTTTGGTAGGATGCGTTCTCATTCTGAAGTATTTTCTCTATTTTTGGCAGCTAGCATACACAAATAATTTATCCAACAATATGTTGTTGGCTTCCACATCTCAGACAGTGAGGGAGGATCCTCCATATTCACCTTTTCCAGACACACAATCAGTGCCGAAGTACAGCAATGTTGCTTCTTCGATAACTGGCCCCTCCATGGCCATGCCAGAGGTGCGTTCTTTTGCAATCAATTCATACCCTCAATTTACCACATTGTTGAGAGATTGGATACCAGTTGCATAACCCCATCCAATACAACTTCATATTGCTTCTGTTTGTGAAGATACTAATTAAGAATGAAATATAATTTTGAATTGTTAACTTCGTTTGCATCAAATAATATTTGATTATATTGCATCTGCTGCTTGACTTCTTTTGATACAAATTCATAGTGGTTATGTCTGTGAAAATAGTAATTAAGAATGAAATCTAATCTTGAATTGATAACTTCATTTTCATTAAATAATATTGATGATTTTTTCTTTTTTATCCTTGAAGTTGCTTACTTTTGTTCTCCACTTGGCTTTTGATTTTCTTCCCAATTTCTCGCTCGGTAGCTGAATATTCTTAGTACCCAATTTGGAACTGGTGACTTCCGCGAGATGGGGGGATTTTTAGGTGGATCTTAATTTACTATGGAACTGTGCAATAATATTTCTGTTAATTTTCTGTTGAAAAATTCAGTTAGAGATTTTATATCAGTTTTACCATCCAGACCAGTTTTTTTATGCAACCTAATGTTTTTTCCCCCGAGGGACCAAACTAAAAAAGCATGGAGCTGTTCAAAATGGGGCTTGAATCCACACCTAAAAGACCTAACGGGTAATTAAAGAGTCCTTGAAGGTTGACACCCAAATAGAAACATTAAACCTAGCCAATGGCCAAGCTTTGTCCCAAAATTCTATGTTTCCTTCCAAGCCATAGACCCCAAAAGATTGCAGTCCATCAGCGTGCCACATAATTCCTGGTGGATGTACAAGGACCTCCTTCACCATAGAGATGTGCTTCTTGCTTTTTGTCAACAACTGAAAAAACAATCACAGATAGAGCGAGCAAGCTGATAGCCCAAAGGATCTAGTTTCTCAAATGCTCTCTTATACATAATGTTTCACCATAAAGGACAAATCCTTGAAAATGTGGTCCGGTGTATTCACCCTCCAAAGAGGAGTGACCACACAAAGAAAGGCATCTAGAGGAGGACGGACCATATCAAAGATGGAAGCATGAGCTACATGATTACCCCGATGGAAATATTAGGGACTCACGCGGAAGAATGTCTTCCCTAAGATCAGTAAAAAAAAAAAGGGAAAGAAGATTCACGACATTTTTCATTTCCCTATTGGACAAAGAATGAAAACATCCAGAGAAAATAAGGAAGATGTGCCCCAAGAAGGAATTAAAGATACGACTTCCCATCATTGTCACTATCTATGAGATGGCCTTATTAGTGTAATAGATGAGAGAATACTTGAGTTTGTACTATTTCTGATGTGGGCAATTTTTTTAAAGACACTGCATTACACTCCCCAATTTCTTTGATCAGTTCCAACCCAAGTCTTTCCGCACACGAATAATTCCTTGTACTAGTATATGCTTTGATAAATGATTGCCTACTATTTTGAACTGTGAATAGTATCACTTATGTATCTATAATTAAATGAATAAATAGTCATGACATTGTACATCTTGTATCAAGGAGTTGCATTTTCTAATCCCGGGGCAAATATGGTATTTTAAATACCAATAGGGAAGAATCATTCCCTTGTATAGATTCATAACTTTCTCGGATCATCTTTTTGTTAAATTTTCAGGTTCTAAGAACAAGTAGCATTTCTACTTCTCAGCCTACTCCACAGTCTAATGTTGCAGCAGGACCGGCCCTTCCACAACACCTTGCTGTTCATCCTTATTCTCAGCCCACACTTCCTGTGGGTCATTATACCAATATGATTAGCTACCCTTTCTTGCCACAGAGCTACACATATATGCCTTCTGGTTTCCAACAAGCATTTGCAGGTAACAGTACGTACCATCAAGCTTTGGCAGCAGTACTTCCACAGTACAAAAATAGCATTTCTGTTAGCAGTTTGCCTCAGTCTGCTGCAATTGCTTCTGGTTATGGTTTTGGAAGTTCAATTAGCATTCCTGGAGGAAATTTCCCGCTGAATCCTCCCACAGCACCAGCAGGTTCATCCATTGGCTATGAAGATGCTATAAGTTCACAGTACAAAGAGAGCAATCATTTACTCTCCCTCCAGCAGGTAACTTTTTGAACTGTTTAAGCAGTCTAGACAATGCTATATCATATATATACTATATAGCAGCAACTTTACTTGGTGTTTTTTTTTTTTTTTTTTGACAATCTATAGCAGAATGAAAACCCGGCGATGTGGATTCATGGGCCTGGTTCCCGAACAATGTCTGCTGTTCCCGCTAGTGCATATTACAACCTCCAAGGGCAGAATCAACAATCTAGTGGATTCCGGCAAGGTCAACAGCCTTCACAACAATTTGGGGCACTGGGATACCCGAACTTTTACCATTCCCAGGCGGGTATGTCACTGGATGGCCAACAGCAAACACTCAGGGATGCATCTCTGGGAGGATCTCAAGGTCAACAGCCCAAGCAGTCGCAACAGATATGGCAAAACAGCTACTAATAGGCTGAGCGTGTCGTGGTAGTGGTCAATCAGAGGTGCTCTTATGATCTGGCATTAATTAATTAATGAAATGTTATTAATTTGTCTGAAGAGATCGACTGGCCACTCCCGTGCCACGAGGTTGTATTTTACACAATATCATTGTCTGCTTATGTTTTAACGAGGCCTGCTAATTTGGATTAGTGAACCACTCTTTTGAGCTCCTTTCTCTCCTAGTTATATGGTATGAAGAAGCATTGTTTTTCCGCAGTTTTAACCTAGTTTCACATTAATTTAAAGCTTTTCCAAGGGGTTTACTGTTTAGTATTGAAAAGGCTCATTTGGCTTATATAGTGATACCAATGTCTATGCTTCATCATGATGGTTGAAAGACCCCTTCGAAACAAGTACAGTTTTACCTCTACCGAATTCTTAGTTCTCCGATGTGTTTATCATTTGGTCTTTTGGGAGTGAAATCATTTGCCGTGGCGTATTGCTTTGTCCCTCTTGCTCTTACCTTTTCTAATGTTATTTTTCTTACCTTGCTTGCAATGATAGGTTTGGACAAGTGTTTTGTGCTGGGAGCCTAAGTTATGCTACTTAATTTTTGCCCCATATTATATAGAAATGAATATGGAGAGACATGGGCACAGTAGGATATATGTTTCCAAGGATTAATTACAACTCTACAAAGAAAGTTTACATCAAGAAAGGCCATCCTCGAGTAATGGATCCTCAAATCAAATCAATTAATGAACTATAATATACATCCGACATCTAATTTTATCAAGTTTACTCGAAACAATTCAATAAGCACCATTTATGGAAAAAGAAAGGTATGAAGTAAAAGTTCCAATAGCAGGAACTTCAAATTATGAGAGATTGTCTATGAAACTGAAAAGAAAAAAAAAATGCAACTCCAAGGTGATGGGAACGAACCACTTTGTGTCGTTTTAAACCACTAGTCGGATCAAAGGGTATTTTCTCCATGCTCCTCCCCCCATGAGCAAGCGTATACGTCATGTAAGAAGAGATTTCGTGAGATGTTCACGTGCAGTTGCCAGTGCTTGGCTAATTGTCTGTGAATAAGAATGAGTTAGCCTTACATCCATTTGTCTTACCATTTCAATTCTCAACGTTCGAAATTTCGCTTTGAGGAAAACCCACACAGGAAAGAGGGTAATAATACCTGCTCAGACAAAGGAGCTGAAGAATCTATACTTTGAGTTGCAACTTTCCCAGCAATGACATTTCCATCGGTCTCAAGAACAATACTTCATAAATATAAAGCAGTTTAAACTAGCTCGCAACAACCAGTGCCATCACTAACTGAGTAACTTTAAAGGCAAATGGAACATCAAACTAAAAGACTTGCAACTGATAAAATGGACACAAATTTTAAGACAATGCACGTATCATGGATTTGCACTTCATCTAAACCTAGTGATATTGCCGTTCAATGAAATAAGATATCAAACGCATTTGCATCCTATGACCCTCTCTCTTAAAGTTCTACTGAAGGGAGGGATAGAGAATCAAACTTCTGATCTTTAAGAGAGGTTACTAGTTACCTTAATTATCACTAACATAAAATATTTTCAAAACTATATTTAGCATTCATAGGAATTCCCTTTCATTTTTCTTGCATAAAAATAATAGTAGGAGAAAAAACGCTCGAACAATCATTTTCCTTGAGTGCATTTAGGGAACCAATATTTAATCATTGGATGACAATGTGGAGGAAGAGGGTAAATTTGGTCAAGTAGAATTCTTAAATGAGAGCTTTGCTACAATAGTAATCATGATATTTGCAAATACCAAGATATACGAACAGAATTAGAACCAACGATAGATTCTTTCCTAACAAAAAAATGGTTTCCATATCAACGCAACCTTGGATGCAGTTCTTACTTCTATACACTTCCATCTTATTCAAGCAGCCAAGGACAAGAGATAACACACAAAACAATTGTTGGAACAGCTATACTAAATCTATTTCAGTACTATAATACTGTTTTAACTCATTGCTAGTTTGTAGCATGCGCATCGAGTGAGGTTGTCCAACTCATTACTAGTTTATGTGATGCTCATGGAGGGAAGTTGTGCCTCATGACAAGGTTCTAGAACTTCCCTCCATATTCCATTAAACAACCATGATACCATCTTACCCAAAAATAAAGCAACCTTATTCGATATCTCATAAACGGATTGTATCAAGTATACATATTTCATTCCGAATATATCTATTTAAATCTCTAAGTTCTAGATAAAATCAAGATTAAAAAACTATTCACAGTACATTTTTGACAAATATGCTTAAAAACTCAAGAAGACTAAACAGAACAATAGGATTGATGAACTTTAAAAGCATGAAATAAGCTAAAAACATACCCTCCATCAACAATTTCATCAAGGCACAACAAAATAAGTTCCAAGTTTTCACGTGCTTCCTTCTTTTCCACGTGACCCCTGAAGTAGAAGCAACATACAGTAAATGTGAGCGTAAGTTCGCAGTGAAATACAGAAAATACAGCAGGGAAATTGATAACCAGTAAACAGTAATAAGTGTTATAAAGATAAGACCTAAGGAGAAGGCCAACAGCATCAAAGAATCCCTGAAGAACAGTCGCCAAAATGAGCTCATTCTCATATTCTCCACCAGTGACAAAAAAATGTAGGTCTTGCACAAACTTGTAAACAACAGTATTGCTTTCAAACATCGTTATCTCCGCTGCAGATAAACAATAAATAACACGTTAACAGGATATAGAAGTATCAAAATTTTCTAAAACTACTTGGAGCATATTTCTTGTTTTATCTCAATGCTATCTTGGTTCTAAGAAGGTAATAGTTCCATGGAAACGTCAAGATGGTGAAAAGAGAGGCTAAAAAGCCATAAACAATGGATTACCTTCATTTCGAGCATTGCTCTTTTGAGTTTTGCTAAATAAAGATTTCTCAAAAGACTCCCTTGCATTATTTGTTGGCCACTCATCTGAGTAATACTTGACAGCCACACGTTTCCCCTCAGAGTCCAACAGGAGAATATTTTTTATTGAAGGACAGGAATCCTACATCAAAACCACGTACAGAGCAAAGGATCATCACATGAAGATCCAAAGTATTTGTAGTAATACTACAGGTATGCATATCAGCGATTCCGCATCATAGTGGTTTTATAGCAGTGGCCTAGACGTCTGATGGATGATCTTGACGAGGAAACAAGCAAGAATTATGGCCTTGTTATGAGTGACTCAGGCTGCCCCAGCAACAGTGAGGAACCACTCTAACATAAGAAAATTCTAATCGTTCATCATGATTCAAAACCCAAGCCGACAGAATAACTTTTGCAAGCTTATATCTAATTTCATTCATCTTCTCATATGGAATTCAAAAGTTTACCCTGGCAAACCACGATAGGAAATAACATAACAGTTCATTTGAGGGAGAGAAAAAAATTGGCGATCTTCCTGCTAATAACATCCTGAACATTGGATCATTCTACCTCCAAAACCAAATATTAGCGCCCAGATGAATGTGTGTGCATGAATTAGTTTGATCCGATCAGAGATTCTAAGCGATCAAATTATAATCACAATCTCAAAAGTATACACTATCGAATCAAGCATTATGGGAGATAAAGAGAACAGCATTGGAAGAAATGGGTTCAAATCGGTGACAAACACACGTGAAGATCGTAGTATCAAAATAAATCAACGCCTATAACGAGCTCAAGTGCAAGATTATCAATCACAGAGGAGAAATCAAATACGGAAAAAGTGAAGGGTAGAATTTACCATTGTTTACAGTTGTGTGTAAATTGCAAACGAATTGAAGAGATGGAGAAATGGGTTGAGGTTTGTGTTTATGAGGCGGATTTTTAAGCCCCCTGACCTGTCCACCATTGGATCTCTATTAAGTATTAACAAACGCTTCAGATTGAATTCGGATCTTGATTTTTGGTTCTGTAATTACATAAAAACTAAATTGAAAAAATGAAAATAAATTTTTATTTTAAAATCTCATTCAGCTCAATCTCTTATTTTTGGGGGAATTATAAAAGAGATTTGGTATGATTTTTAAATTTTAGAACTAGTAGCACTTTTAATGGTATCAAATTATCAATTTGTCGCATATAATAAAAAAATTCATAAAATTTTATTGGCATAATCGACCTTCTCACTCACACTCAACTACTCATTCCAGTGATTGCGACAGTCTATAAGGAGCGGGTGCATGCATGACCGCCCTCCTCACTCTCACACAACCAGACAGCTTCATTATAAGTGGGTGCACGCCACGCTCGCATGACTACTCACTCCCGTAATTGTGACATTATTATTATTATTATTTTTTTTTTTTTTTTTGTAAACGAGATTTTTTTATAATTATTTTTAAGTTGTTGCTTGTGGAAATGAGTTGTTTGTGCTTAAAGTCGACTCTTTTTTTTTTATTTATTTTTTAGAACAAAAGTAGCCCAAGTTTATGATGTACTTAAAGTTTAGAGATCCACGGATCATCTCAATCTAACGACAATACATCCACCTACCTCTAGTTGAAGCTCAAAATGGCACGCCAATAAAAATTAATAGCAATTCTTCGTTAAACCCCAAAAATAAAATAAACATCTTTCAAACTGCAAAGCTGAACTAAAGCAATGCGTAATGGCATGAAGAGAGAACCGGGGGATCTCGACTTGGGACAAGAACATAAGGTCGAGTGTTGGGAGTGTTTGGTTCCTGATCAACAGTCATGTTGACTGCTAATAGAAGCGTTCAGGCTCAGTAGGTGATGAGCATCGAGCTTATTGATCTTGGAAGCGAGTATGAAGTCATTTTCAGTCAGTCCACCTGCCCCAAAGTGAATTATGTCAAACACAATCTTACAAATACTTAATTGGATATGAAACAGGATACTACTACTTTATTTATTATGCAAGGAAAGGAACCAATTCAGAAATAAATTAGATGTCTTGCAGCTCCTTGATAGTTAAAGAACAGTTAGAAAGGTCCTCCCATATTCCTCGAACCATATTGTTCCAATTCAGGAGGTTTCACCCATTTTTTGCTATTTATTTAGTGGGTGGGGGTAAAGAAGAGGAATCATCCTGCATATGGTATGCTTTAATAATACTTTTAGTTATTATACTCACTGTCCGGAAATGTTTTTTTTTTTTTTCACGGCTCAAATCAGCATATTAGAAATCTAACATTCATACGGAGTAAAGAATATTGTTTCAAGTCTAGGAATTTGGGTATAAAATTTAAGAAGGTCAAACTTCACGTTCAAATGGTTTTTTAGACGGTTTAATTCAGACCATTAAAATTATGAGTGACACAAATAAGTCTGAGTTTAATGTTTAGGGGATTTTTATTTAATGCTGCATAAACAAAGAAATCTTACCTACTGCATCTGTCCATATCTCAATCGTTACGTTGTTCCATCCAACTAGATGAAGATTAGGGTGATGGCCTGCGTTGAATTATAGAACTCAGATTTAGACCTCACTAAAATTCATATTGCAATAAATGAATCATGGTGATTCATGAACAATAGAAGAGTGCATCATATATTTCGAAGATGGAAAGCAAGATACCCTCTGCTTCTGCAACTTCGGCTATAAGTTCAAACAACTCCATTCCTTTAAGAAAACTCTTCACCTTCAATGATCGGTTCAACTTTAGTTTACCATCTTCATTTATAAGGTTCCACTCAGCCAGCTTTAAAAAGAAAAAGTAAGACAAAAATGAATGAAATGCATAACGACGATACGTTTTCTTTTAACAAATAGAACAGTCATCACATACCTCTCGAATCAAACCTTTTGCTGCATCCTCGGTCATTGGTCGCAAATCCTTTGAGTTGCAAGGAACACATTTTTTTTTCGTCAAATCTGGCACATACAAAATAGTCGATTATGCCACATAAGCGATGATGTATATGCAAATTACATTGCTTTCCATTCAGAGCTTTTCAAGTCCAGAGAATGGACATGAAAAACCTTTTCCTTGAATCAAATTCGCAAAACAAGCAGCATGTTGTAGACCTGGGACAGAAAGGAGGCCCCAATAAGAAGGGATCCTATAGTTTCCCTGGCAGTAGAAGTATGCTCTGGTTGGATGAGTCATTATCCAGAAAAAGTATCATGCGTAAATAAAAAGAAGGCTGACACTTTGCAGTAGCTGCTTCACAAATTTCAGTGAGCTAAAAGGCCAACCCGCACCTTCGCCAGTACAAAGCATTCTAAATCCAGAAAGTGGTTTCCTACTTGATGATAAGCGCACATGCTCCCTACAATATCCCAGTAATTCGAGAAATTGGACTGTCCATACACAAATGACCTCTTTCTGAATCTAAAACGAAACACATACTAACGAAATTCAGTATTGTATTGGTATTTATACAAACGTTAAGGTACTCATTCATTACTAATGAAACAAGCAAACAAATTCACTTTTGTAGAAGGCTGCACGTAATGGCTTCAATCGCGAGTACAGCACGAAATATGGGGCCTGGAGAATCAGACTATGGCAGAAGTAGATAATCCACCAAAGATGAGCTAAATAAGATTTCTAAAATAATAATAGAAATTCCACTTCGGTCATAGGCAGTATGTATTCCACTTGAAATTATCGGAGCTCAAGGTTTCAAACGTTTGATTCATCACAACATAATTATCCTTTCAACTATAAATTTTCGATCAATTTTTTATTTACGCACACATGCATGCACAGAAGATATGCGAACTGTTCAATAACGTAAGCGAGACAAAACAACGAGGCTAGTCTTGATTTCAACACGATATAACTAGAATCGCAGATCCACCACATCCTAAATCTGAGTAATCGCAATTGCTCATTCAGAGATGAAAAAAAAAAACACCAAAAACGTCGACGTCAAATGTGCGAGTCAGTCATAAATTCAAACACCTAGCATGCAATACATTGAAGCCAACATTTACACAGATTGCCGTTTCGTCTCGACTAAGAGATCATCAACATTTCATCGAATGATAAAGAAAAGATACACTTGAATTCGGAGAAACGAATTACCGTTCATTATGTCGATGGATGAAGTGAAACAGCGACGAAAACGGAACCTGCAAATTCAGAAATTAGTAGAAAATCAAAGTGTGTGGATTAGATGATTTGTGATACGACCTTGGTTTTGAAAATCAAGCGCAGAGGAGAGTGCGAAAAAATAGGTCATTGCGATTTGCAGATAAAATTGTATCTACGTGATGTTGCCGCTCAACGCTTCCAGCTTCCAACTTCCAACTTCCAACTGAACACGTGCGCCGATGACCGCTAAATGTTGGAATTGATAACCACGGCCATTTGAAGTGGTTGATTTTCTTAAATTAGATAATTATATCAAACATATAATTATTATAAAATCCAAATTATTGGGTTTTTAATCAATAGAAAATCGATTATTTATTCATATATTCTAACTTTGATAAATCAATATTCCATAGATATTTTAAAATTTTATCAATATTTTGTTTTAAAAAAATCAATTAAAATATTTATTAATCCATCAATTTTTAATTTTGTCATTTTATTCAAAATTCCTATTAAATTTATTAGATATATTAATTTAATGAAGCCGGAATACTTTCTATATTTGGCCAATCCACCGCTAAGATAGAGTTGCGATACGATCGACAGGCAAAAAGTGGGTCGCGTCTCATAAACGCAACCAAGGAAATCCGCAGCTTCCTTTTCGCCTCTGCAGGCTGCACCTTATAGGAAAATCTTGAACTGTTCTTCTACTGACTGCTAGTGCTAGCTCGATCTTCGAAACAATGGTAATTTCGCCTATGTCGATTTCTTGCTTTCGATTCGTTTCTAGTGTGTGAGGAAATCCTGTAGTTTGCGATGTAATCAAACGCTGCTTCAAACTCAATTTACCTTTTCTTGTAATGATGTTTACTCTTCATTCAATCTGAGTTTCTTCGTTCTGCTTCGGCAATATTTCTCCTTTACCGAATCAGGGGTTTGGCTTTTTTTATCTAACGGCGTTTTCTTGCGTTTTCCCCATAAATTTTATGTTCATGTATATGAATTCTTCCAGATTCGGATTACAGTTGGATGACTTAGAGCCCTATGTTAAACTGCAAACTATTCATTTGATCATTTATGTTCAAATAGATAGATGTAAAGGGCTATTTATTTTATGTATGAGCGGCAACTTGACTTGTTGGCGTTTTTAATCCAAAGTTTTTATTTTGAAGCATCAATAGGTTATTGATTATCATTGGCCTTTTTTCGCAATACTCATTGGTATAATTATTAATATCGTTTATCACTCTCTTTCTATGTCACATTGTCAATGTTTGGCTCAAATCCCTCGTAGAGGACTAATAAATTTCTATAATTTACTACTATACCAAGTGATTTCAATCTTATAAGTTTGATTGCTTAGCTTGGCAAGACAAGCTTAGCTACTAATTCTATCAAAGTAGCAAGTGCCCATGATTTTCAACTATACTTGACGACAGATAAACTCTATCTTTCCTTCTCGTGGCATTTTATTTATTTATTTATTTATTATTTTTTATCTCTGTTGTGGTTGTAAATGGAATTCTCACCTTTGACCCTCATATAGGATGATCCTGAACTAGAAGCAATCAGGCAGAGAAGAATGCAGGAACTCATGGCCCAGCGTGGCATGGTAAGCTGTAATCTCTTTGTTTATATGCGTGGGAACATTTTAGCTGTAATCTCTTTGTTTATATGCGTGGGAACATTTTACTTGATCGTGGACATCTCTACTGACTTCTAATGATAATTAGGGAAGCCAAAGTAATCCAGAGCAACAGAAGGCCCAGGAAGAGGCTAAGAGGTTCTTGATTTTATTTTATTATTTTGTAGTTGTTTTTTAGTCATCACTTTTAGTATC